GTCAACCCCCCTCAGCTTCTTGGGGCTTTCTTAACTCATTTATGAGCTAGGTTTGGCTAGATATACCCCCCCATTTGGGCATCCACTGAAGGCCGCCCTGTACCCTTAGCAACCTGCGCCCCGATCCCAGTGGGTCGGGAGGGCTGGGGCACACAGGGTCTCAACCCCAGATCTCCGACGATTCGATCTTGTCAATCCGAGTTTTTTTTTTTTTTTTTTTTTTTTTTTGTTTTTTTTTTTTTTTTTTTTTGTGATTTTCGGCTTGGAGTGAATCGCCCGTCACAGGCAAGTGTCTAAACCTCCTAGGGTCCATGGTTGAGTACAACTGAAGGTCCCCCATAGGGAGCTCCACCGAAGGTCCCAGTGTGGGTGGGCGCATGCGGTTCCCCCACCCAGGGCAGCGTTCCGTGGCCCCACAGGGAGCTCCACCGAAGGTCCCAGTGGGGGTGGGCGTATGCGGTTCCCCCACCCAGGGCAGCGTTTCGTGGCCCCACAGGGAGCTCCACCGAAGGCCCCAGTGGGGGTGGGCGCATGCGGTTCCCCCACCCAGGGCAGCGTTTCGTGGCCCCACAGGGAGCTCCACCGAAGGCCCCAGTGGGGGTGGGCGCATGCGGTTCCCCCACCGAGGGCAGCGTTTCGTGGCTCCAGAAGGGGGCTCCACCGAAGGCCCCAGTGGGGGTGTTCGCATGCGTCTCCCCTGCCCAGGACAGCGCTTCGTGGCCCCGTAGGGAGCTCCACCGAAGGCCCCAGTGGGGGTGGGCGCATGCGGTTCCCCCACCCAGGACAACGTTTCGTGGCCCCATAGGGAGCTCCACCGAAGGCGCCAGAGGCGCAGTTCGCATGCGTCTCCCCTGCCCAGGACAGCGCTTCGTGGCCCCATAAGGAGATCCAGCGAAGGTCCCAATGGCGCAGTTCGCATGCGTCTCTCTCGCCCAGGGCAGCGCTTCGTGGCCCCATAGGGAGCTAGACCGAAGGCCCCATTGGCGGTGTCCACATGCGTCCGCGCCACCAATTTCGGCGCACCCCTCACAAGTTTCGTGGCCCCACAGGAGCTCCACTGAAGCCGGTGCCCACAATGCGGCACTCGCAACTGCACTTGGTTTGGTCCTTCGTCAGGCCAATTTTTTTGTTGGATCTGGCGTTCCTCTTCGGTTTGTTCCCATCATTGTCGTCCGACTGGATCGGCCTCACAGGGTGGGTTTCTCATTTCGATTTCGTTTCTGCGGGCGTCCTGGGTGCTCTGCCTCGTGTGGGCTTGAGTAGGCGTAACTGTCGGTGTGTTGTCTCGCAGCCACTTGATGCTAGAAGTTTGTGCGTGTACCTTTGCATATTGTGTGCGCTTAGTCTGTTTATGCCTCCTGTTGCGACCATCTGCTCCCTACCCAGCGATCTTGTTTCATCAAACATGGCGTTGGTCCAGGGCATTTGAGACCAACGCATTTTCTGGCGACTGACGACTTGTCCCCCCTACTGCGAACCTCTCCGCTGTGGTGCAATCGTGTGTGTTCTCTTCCAGTTAAGCTTCAGGCGTGGGATTCGTCGTCGTCTTTGTGGTGTTCTGTATCTTCGTGCGCTGTCCAGTAGTTTGCTGTTGATGGGGGGATGCGCTTTGGGCCTTGGTCGGACATGACTGCTTGGTTGCGGATTTGTCCTTTCAACACCAGGGTGGAGTGGAGGCAGGTGGAGAAGTTTCGGTTCGATCGCTAGTCTTCGTCCTCGTAGCGCCTAGGAGCTCCTTTATCCAGGAGACGCTTCTGTTTACGCGCGCTGCTTTGTGTGTGCTCAACCGCCATTTCAGCCTCGAGCAGAGTGGGCGTCGCGCCCTCCCTTTGCGGTCCGCCATCACTTTGGGTTCTTTCAACCTGTGCTTGCAGCATGGGGAAGCGCAAAGCTACGCCTGTCGCTCTCCTCGAAGTGGCACAAAGGATCGGGGGGCAGGTGGCGCCACAGTGAGCGTGGCGAGTGCTATGCAAAACCGTGGGAACACGAGTGCCACGCGATCTGGGTTGGCTCAAAGAGCGGCTGGGCGCAGAACGTGATTTGGTACCTGGACAGTCTCGATTGGACTGGCGACGGTGTGGTCGAGCGCTGGAAGTGGATGGCTGCTCCATCGATGCGCGACTAATGGAGGCTTTACTTCTTATTCCTCATTAGATCCTGCCCATTATGAGACGTTAGAAATCTTGGGTTGCTCCGCTATGCCAACTGATCGGGCAAGTTGGTGTTCTTCATGTTTTCGCGCGCTTACTTCGGTTCACAGTGCTGCATTCGCAGCATTTTTCTTTCCTCAAGCAGTGTGGGTTCCTATTCTCCTGTCTCTGTTTCCATCGTTCATATGTCCCTTTGTCTTCAATGGCTTCTGATCGCGGGAGCCACCATGTCGTGCTTGGGGGCTGTTGCTTCAGTTCAATGTGATTTCATTACTCGCATTCTGTTTTAGTTTTTGAAGATTTAAAGTGAGCGCCGCCTGGCGGGTAGTCACAAACTGGGTTCAGCTTATCATTCTGGGTTCTTCTCTTTGCTTCCTTCTCTCTTTTCTCCTGCTCTCTCTCCTCTCGCTTCTCTCTTCTTCCCCGCCTTCTGTCGCGGGGCGGCTGGTGGTGGCGCCGCTGAGTCGCGTGGATCTCGGGAGCCCGTCTTGAAGGGCGTGCCATCATCATCGTCCTCCTCCTATCCCCCTCCTCCTCCTCCTCCTCCTCCTCCTCCACCTCCTCCTCCTCGTCCTCCTCCTCCTCCTTTTTCTCCTCCTCGTCCTCCTCCACGTCCTCCTCTTCCTCCTCTCGAGCCAGGGCCGCCGCGGCGCCGGGCCGCCCTCCGCGCGCGCAGGCCTTTTTCGGGGCCGACAGAGACCAGCCTTGGAGGCGACGCCGTCCGCGTCGTAGCGCCGGTCTACGGTAGGTTCACGCGGCGTTGGCGCGCCAGCGACGTTGGCGAAGGCGTTCAAGGTTGAATTCCGCGACGCGGCAGCACCGATGGACACGGTAACGCCATTAGACCAGACGGAATTCAACCTTGAACGGTCGGGTTCGCGATCGATTCAAGGTTGAACGATCGACGCGGTGTCAAAAACCCTTGTGCGCGCCAACGCCGCACGAACCTACCGTACTTCATCGAGCTCCTCGCCATCGCCCTCGGCTTGTGCACGGGGGCGAGGCTCGATTTCTGGGTGCCGCGCCAGTGCGTCGGAGGCGACCTGGGCCGGACAGAGGAGGACCTATGAATCCGTCCGCCGCGGCGACTGGGGCGACGTCCGCATTGCAATTCTGGGGGGGCCTTGGTCCGCCACCTTCCCCACCGCCGCGCAACTGAGATCCTCCAGGGGTGGGGCTTGACGCGGAGACGCTCGCGCCGAAGGCCACGGCTCCCTTGCCGGGCGCAATGCCGACGCCGCCGGTGCCGCCTTTTCCACCGCCGAGGCCGATCAAGCTGCTCAAGTGCTGGGCGCACGTCAACCCGAATATGCAGGTCATCGACGCCAAGGAGCAGAAGGAAACGGTGAAACTCTCCTACATGGAGTACAGACGCAGGAAGCGCAGGGAGAAGTTCGGCAATGAGGGGCGTGTGCATGGGCAAGCTATCCGAGGAGGTTCCACCGAACCCGACACCACCGAGGCTTGTGGGGAATGACCAGGGTTTCGCGGACGCGTCGAGTACTTCGCGCGCGACATTACATCGGCGGGGTCGGGGACGGCGATCTTTGCGAACATCGGTGACACGAATTAGCCTCTGCTTCCACTCGCCTTGATGATCAAGCAGGCGGGGGGGGGCCTCGCCGCACTTCTCGGCAGTGGGATTCAGCTGGTCCTTACGTATTGGGTTTGAGGGGGGAGGCCTAGAGCTCGTCCCGCCTTGCACTAGTCACGCCTTCAACATCGACGCAAAGACGTTCGTGCAAAGTGTTTAGCACGCATTGGAGGAGGAAACCACTTCGCCGATCAAGGGCGGCGTCGAAGGCGACGCCGAGCCCACTTGCGACGGCGGCGAGCCCACCATCAAGGACGAGGTGGACATTCCCGAGGGCGCTTGGCCAATCAACTCCGAGGGCAATTTGCAGCCCACCATGCATCGAGGGCGACTTCCAGCCCGCCATGCATCGAGGGCGACTTCCAGCTCACCTTCGCTGTCGACGTCGCCCCCGTCTTGAAGAGCGCAGCTCCAACGAGGGCTACTTCTAGCCCCATTTCAGGAGTGACTTCGAGGTCCTTTTCGAGCCCGCCGCCACGTTCGGCACCAAGGGGCTCGCCAGCGGCGACACTGCGGACCTGTCCGCGTCTGACGTGGAGGACTTCGGCGACCCCGCCAACGAGTGCCACGTCGGGCGGAGAGCGGCCAAAGGCAGAACATGGAGGAACCTCTCGCGTCTCTGGGTGCAGAGCTTTTGGCGGTCCTGAGGCGCTTGGACTGCATAGCTAGAGGAGGATCGATGTGGCCCCCATGGACACCATAGGTCGGTGCGTTGGCTGTTCCATCGACGTGGGGCACATGTTCGAGCCATTTTTGGTTCAAGCCCGCGCGTCCCGTGCCGCGCGGCCCCGCGATTAGGAACTTAGGTTTGCGCGGAGTACTGAAACAAGTCTTCTCCTCGTCTTCCTCTTCATCCTCCTCCTTCTCCTCCTCCTCTTGCTCCTCCTCATGCTCCCCCTTCCGCTTCTCGTCCTCGTCCTCGCCTCGCCCCCCTTCTCGTCCTCAGCCCTCCTTGTCCTCGTTTTCTTCGTCTCATCCCTCCTCGTCCGCCTTTTCCCCCTCCTCGTCTTCATCCCTTCTCGTCCTCCCTTTCCCCCCGCCACCTCCTCGTCCACGTCCCTCCTCGTCCTCCCCCCTTCCTCTTCCTCGTCTTCGGCCGTCCTTGTCCTCCCTGTCTCCTCCTCGCCCTCGCCCCTCCTCGCCCCCCCTCCCTGTCCTTCTCGTCTTCGTCCGCCCTCGTCCCGCCGCCCAGAAGGCCCAGGAGCTGAACGGGGCGGCGCAGGGCGTCAGGGGCGCCGCTTGCGGGGGCAAACCAGGCCACCCGCGCGTCGCCGGCGGTTGGTCGCGGTTGCAGTTTTCACGCGGTTCTTCCTCTTCGGTCCTCCTTCGTCCTCGGTTTTCCTCCTTCCTCCTCGTCCCTCCTCCTTCCTCGGTCCTCCTCCTTTCATTTTCGGTCGACTTGGCGCGCGTTGCGTCCCGCGGCGAGGCTGCCAGGATGGGCCCAGAGGAGGATTTCTCCTCCGATTGTGAAGGCAGGGGTGGCGTCTTTTGCGTGTTCCCCCTGATTTTAGGTCGTTCCGCGGCAGCCTCCATCCTTGTCCTCCTCCATCATCGGTCCCCCCCTCCCCGTCCACTCTTTCATTCCTCCATCCCTCCTCGGTCTTGCGCCTCCCCCTCCATTTCCGCGTCCTCTTCATGTTCTTGCTCCTCCTCCTCCTCCTCCTCTTTGTTCTCCTCCCCCGCCCCCCCCTCCTCCGCCTCCTCCTCCTCTCCTCCTCCTCTTCCTTCTCCTCCTCCTCCATCTTCTCCTCCCTCCTCCTCGGTCCTCCTTTTGCCGATGTCGATCCCATTCCCTCGGTTTCACCCTTTCGGTTCTTGGCAGCCCCGACTTCCTCGCGTCGTGAAGAATTCATGATGCAAGGAATTTGGTAACTGTCGTGGTTGAGCGAATTACTGGGACTTGCGGGGAACGGGGTCCTGCAGGGAAGGGGGTCCGTCTTAAGGGACATGGGTCCTGAGGCCTGGGCTTGGCATCGCTCGGATGTGTGCGCTTTTCCGGCGAATGCCATCGTGGAGCATCTCGTACCTTCTTGCAAAATAGTAGACTCACGAAATCGGCACGTGCACGGGGAATGGACGTACGAGCCTCCTCATCCTTCCTCCTCCCCCCCCACCTCTACCTCCTCCTCCTTGATCCAGGTGCCGTCTAGCTACCGTCGTCGTGCTGCGGCCGCTGTTCGTTCCCAGGATACCAAGGTCTCGGATGAAGTGCGATACCTTGGCCCTCATTTAACAGCTGCGCAGTCCTTCAGTGCCGAGCTGGTCCGCAGAGTACGTGCTATGAAGACTGCATTCTTTCGTCTTGGCCGCTTGTGGTTTCAAAAAGGTGTCCCTCACAGATGGAAGAGGTGCGTGCTCTTGTGCCATGTTCTGAACACAGCTCTGTCAGGAGTCGAAGCCTTTGTTCCTACTGCTTCGCAGATCCGCACCTTGGAACTGGCTGTGGCTGGGCTTGCTCGTCGGGCTATGATGGGGGAGGCTAGCTGGGAGGAAGACGGCAAGAGGAGGTGTCTCAAGACGGACGAGGTTCTCGCGTGGTGGAAGCTTACCCCGCTTTCGACCGAGTTACGTGTCCGACGGTTTCGTTGGCTTCAACCTTGTGTTCGTCGGCCTGGGTCTCATAAGCAGCTGATCGCCGCCGTCTTCGGGGCCGTTCCGTTCGAGGTGGAGGGGGTCTTCCTGGAGAATGGGTCCTTGTCCACGGGGGCCAATCCTTGGGCCAAACAGTTTCACGACGACGTGGTGGAGCTCACGATCTGGAGCGAGGAGGCGGCCTCTTGTTGGGCCAGAGCTGGGGGGTCTCTTTTGCAGTTGTTCGAGTTTGAGATCGGCCAGGACTTCAGTCGCATCGATGTAGGGGTTCTTCGTAGTCGCCACTTTGAGGTTGAAGTGGTGCCACCAGGTCTGGATATCTCCTTCGAGGACCCGCAGGAGCTCGAGGACGGCGCCCTATGTACGTCTTTGTCCTACACGTGTCCCTGGCAGCTGGAAGAAGGGCCCTGCGGGGCCGCATTCGCGTCTCGGAAAGGTTTGGTCAACCATCTGCGTCTTGTTCACGGGGCCCTCAAGCTCTCCCAGCTCCTCACCATCACCAATCAATGTGTATCTTGTGGGGGGAAGTTCTGGGATCGTAAGAGTGCTCAGAAACACCTGCATGGGGCCCTACTGCACGGACGATGTTTGGCCGAGAAGGCCTCGACTATTCGACCCTTGGCGGTCCCAGAACACCTCTGTTGCGCTTTGTGTGGCTCAAGCTGTGAAACCTTGGACGCCTACAACACCCACGCCTGCTCGCACCTCCCTTTTCGGCCTCGAGTTCAGGCACTCCGTCGACGCGATGCCCGAGGGTCAGAGCGCCGCGATGGACTGGGACGAGGAGCTCTTCGTAGGCGACCGCCCGTTGTGGTTTCTGGCGGTATGCGGGGTCAAGCGCCCAGCCGAAGACTCAGCGGACGGAGCCCCGCCCAGCCAGGTCGCCAACGCGGGGAGCGGCACGGGTTCGCAGGCCGGCGGTCGGTCCGCCAAGAAGGACGAGCTGCTGGAGGCCGTCGTTCGGCTGGCCATCCTGAGCTCCAGGCAGATCGCAGAGCTCGAGAAGGACGTGGTGACCACGTACTTGACCCCTCAGAACCACTTCCTCGCTCGCGCAGGGGCCGAGGCGAACCAGTACTACACCAAGTCCGTGCAGAACCTCAAGGATCGCAAAAAAGACGACCCATCGGTGGACCTTGGGAGCATGGGCCCGCCGTACATCACTGTGTACCACATGGTAATGAATGCGGCGGTGAAGCAGGCGGCCACCAAGGGCGACGGAAGCGGCGTCGGGCCCATGCAAGACTTCTGGTCGGCGCATATTCAGGGCAAGCCGCAGAGCTACATTGCAGAGTATGTGACTCACTTCTCGGTGAAGGCTCCCCGCAGCGACCACGGCCAGAAGATGAAGGACAAGGTGAAGTTTCAGGTGTGCGTGCAGGGCTACCATCCAGCGGGAACGGTCCTTCTTCTCATCATGTCCGAGATCCTGAAGGAGATCGACGCGCATCGCCCTGTCGGAGCGGCTCCCATGGGGCATTTGGAGCGCCAGATCCTGAACCTGCTGAACAAAAGGAGGTAAGGCAGGCGGCGATTGTGAGGCGATTGCTGTTAGCAGCGCGTGGGCCTGCTGCTGATGGTGATGTGGGTGTGTCCAACTCTGAGCCTACCGTTTTGCATGGTGACGCTCCTTCGGCACGCATCTCGGGGCCTGTGGTTCTCGAGGTACCGACCGTCGGAGCTCCGTCTCCTTCGGCGCGCATCTCGAGGCCGCTTGTGGTTCCTGAGGTACCGACCGCCGGAGCTAGTATCGTGGACGTGGGGAGTCCGTCGCAATTCATCACTGCTTCTGAGCCTGCAGCAGGTATTATCTCATTTCTTCCAGCGACAAGGTCGATGGCGTCAGTGAAGCAGTTTCTTGGTCTGAATGGATGTGGGAGCTTATCTCAAGCTGAACAGGGCAGTCAGTGGTTTGATAGTCCTCCTGATCGAGTTGCTGTCTCTTCGACGGTGGTTACCCAGTTCGTTCTTGGGAATACCTCTGAATATGGTGCGAATGATCGGCGTGGGAGATCTTTCAGGACTACGACGACCCGCCCGAGCTCGAGGCCCCCTTCAGAGATTCTTGGGAACAGAGTTGCAGTATCGACGTCGTCTACTCAGTCATGCCGTCTTGGGAACTCTTGTCCAGCACAGGGGCCCCCAGTTGCAGGGGACCGTGAGGACTCGAATGATCAGAAAGTGAGATCGTCATTCAGAGCTCCAGGGGATCCGTCAGCCAGCTCGAGGCCCCCTTCTGAGCTTCCTGAGGCCCCTCTTTCTCCACCCACTCCCGCTCGCCCCCGTTCTAGACCTCGTCCTCACTCCCTTGGCGCTCTGCCTCCCCCCAAGGTCCGTGCCCTTGACTCTCTCACCCTCCCAGCTGCGCTGCAGCGCAGCTCGCGGCTCCACGAGCTCGTCCGACGCGGCGCAGTTCAGGACATCCGCGTGGGAGTGGGGGCGGATAGGTTCGTGGTGGGGACGGGGGGGAGCGGGTCGGTGTGGGACGGTGGGGGGGAGGAGAGGATAGCTGCCGCCGCCGAGGAGAGGGAGGAGGGTGGGGGTGCGCGGCCCACTGTGGTTCGCAACCGACCCCGATCCCAGCCCTCCAGGTGGCAGCGCTCGACGAGGCGCCGATACATTTCTTGTGACTGGCGCCCGCAGGCACCCCCGCAGGGCTCTCCCTGCTAGGGGGGCCCGCCTTAGGGGTCAGTGGGGGCTGTTCCCTCCAGCTGAGGGCCCCCCTCGCAGTTCGGATTGAGCGGGTTTAAGCCCACGCAGGGACTTTGTGTGCTGCCTCTGTTGAGGCTTCCAGTTTTGTTTTTCCCTCCGTCTGACTTGGAGTCCCCAGCGTTTCTTGGTCTTGGTCTTGGTCCGTCTCCTCCTTCCACCTCCTTCACCCGACGTCGGCCAGGAATGGCCGTAGCGTCAAACACAATTATGCGGTCTGCTTTCGGACACGTTAGCAGGACAAGCCTGCGACTGAACCAGTCGATGGCTGGTATTTGATTTGTATTTGGTTTGAGCTGTGGGTTCACGCTGTCCGCCCTCATCATCTTCTCCCTATCCACGAATGAACACCGCAGTGCCGTGCAACAATATCAACAACAACTGCGCCAGTATCGTCTTTTTGCGGCTTATCGTTGAACAAAAGCGATCTGCCAGGGCATGCACAAGTTTTGCGCGCTTGAGCCACAAGGTTGAACATGAGAGCGCGAACGTAGTCCGAGGGCCTCTTCCTCGCAGGTCGGGCTTCCGAGCCCCGCCTCATTCCCTGCAGCGCTCCCACCTTTTTCGCCCCCTAGCCCGTGCAGGCGGGGGGGGGGGGGGGGGGGGGGGATGGCCGTTATCTCACGGACTATAGCGAGCGGCGCAAGTGTCGCAGCTTAATGTCGCGGAGAAGTGGGGGACAACGGAGGAGGAGGAGGAACAATCATAGGACGAACATGAATAGTAGTAAACATAGTAACGTTTACACGAATTATAATATTGATGAGAAGACGGGTCATATGACGAAGAATGATAAGAGCACGGACGGCACTAACGCTACAAGTTTTAATGCTAGCATGAATGCGACTACTAATGATACTACTCATGCGAAGAATACGGCGGATGCTCAGACATACATTGCTAGTACTAATAATATCACGAATGCCCAGACGGCGCACACTACCAATGCTAATAA